CTGACTGGACCAGCCAGCGCGGCCTATCTGTCAGAACCGCGTCCACGCCCGCGCCCGCCGCCAGAGCGATCGACAGGCCGTCGTTGACCCCCAGCAGGAACACCCGCAAGCCCCGCGCCTGCAGGTGCTGCACCATCCGCGGCGGGACCAGCAGCGGCTTCAGCGCGCGGCGCAGCAGCTCCACCACCCCGTCTGGCACGAACGACGGGCACACGCGGCGTAGCAGCCCGACGGAGATGGAGGCCGGGCACACCATACCGAAGATCCGCGCCCCCGATCCGATCCAGGACGTGGGCAAAAACGCGAGCAGCCCCAGCCAGTACGACAGCGTGGCCAACATCACAGTGCGAGCCGCCGTGATGCGCGGGCGCGCGGCGTTCTGCGCTGGCAGTGTGCGGTCGCAGCAGTCGGCCGCCAGCGAGAACCAGACCACCCGGCCCTCGGCGTCAGCGCCGCGAGGGTCCGCGCGGAGGATCGCGTCGGTCTTGGCCACGAGCTCCTCTGTGGAAATAGCGGCGTGGCCCGCGCCAGTGGGCGCCCCGAGCTTGCTCGCCTTGATCTCCACGAGCACGCACACCGACTTCGGGAGCTCGGCCAGGACCTCGGCCAGCAGCGGGATGGCCTGCTCCCCGAGGTCGGAAGCGCTGTCGTCGAACTCGTCCTGCGGCAGCCCGGGCGGCGGTGCCGCCACGAGCGGCGGCAACTCGCCCCGCGCGCAGGCGCTGACGTGCCCGCTCCGGCCCGTCATCCGCAGCAGGTCGCCGTCGTGGAAGACGACGACCTGCCCGTCGCGGGTGAGGTGCACGTCGAGCTCCACCATGTCCACCCCCGCGCGGTAGGCCCGGCGGAAGGCAGGCAGGGAGTTCTCGGCACGCCGCGGGTGGTCCTGGCCGCCGCGGTGCGCGATGGTCCTCACGCGGCGCCAGGGCGCGCTGGGCGCCTCCCCGGGGGGCACCTGCGCGGCGCTCCAGAGCAGGGTGGGCCTGCGCAGGAGCAGCCTCGCCAGCAGGTGCAGCACCAGCGCGAGCCCCGCGAGGGCCCACAGCGGAGGGAGCACCATGTGCGCGTGAGAGGTCTGTACGGTGGCGAGAGCAGCCCAAGGGCCCCAAGACCGCTCCGAGACGGCCCTCGTGCGCCGTCTCGGCGGAGCATGTGGACGAGGAGGGGACGGATGCCTGGCGAGAGCGGGCGAGTTGTCGGTGTGGCAAGCCGTCGGTCGGCTGTCGTCGTGGGACGTGGGAAGAGAAAGGACGGGAAGCCCGCCGTTCGGAGAGGTTCGTCTTAACAGAGCTACACTGCAGTCGCGGGTAGGAATGAGGGGCTGCTCCATGCTCGAAACATGATCAACCCACGAACCCGGAAAGTAGTATAGAACTGTAACGCATGGCAACCTTTTCAAAGACACCTGATTGGGTGACGGGCAAATGCAATGCTGAGTGTATCGATCTTACCCTGCCGAGAACTGTGCTGTGCTGCACCGTGCTGAACTGCGATGTGCCATGCCGCGATTGTGCTCTATAGCGTCGTGGATCGAGTCCTCCTTTGCATCCGAGTCCTGGCCGAACTGATCTGGATCTGAAGCTCGAGCTGCCTGAACACATAGTAGCTGCCGCAAAGCTATTTGACAGGGAAACATGCCAGGAGGACGCGCCGCGAAACGTCCCAAGGGACGCGCTAGGCGACGTGCCAAGGGACGTGCCATGGGGACGCACCGCGGGACGTGCCAAGGGGACGCGCTACGGAACGTGTCAATGGATGTGCCACGGGATGTGCCAAGGGACGCGCCACGCGACGTGGCAGGGGGAATTGCCAAGGGACGCCCCACGGAACGTGCCAAGAAACGCGCCAAATTGCAATGCTGAGTGTATCGATCTTGATGTACCGTGCCGAAGTCTGTGCTGTGCTGCGCCGTGCTGAACTGCGATGTGCCATGCCGCGATTGTGCTCTATAGCGTCGTGGATCGAGTCCTCCTTTGCATCCGAGTCCTGACCGAACTGATCTGGATCTTAAACTCGAGCTGCCTGAACACATAGTAGCTGCCCCAGAGCTAAGTGACAGGGGGACATGCCAGGAGGACGCGCCGCGGAACGTCTCAAGGGACGCGCCAAGCGACGTGCCAGGGGACGTGCCATGGGGACGCACCGCGGAAGGGGACGCGCAACGGAACGAGCTAGGGACAAGCGTTTCGCTCGAGACATCCGGTCAAAATCCAAGGAACTCCTAGAAACACAAGCGAGTTAGTCGAGACATCCTCGAAATTCCTGCGCGCGTGACGCGGCACGCGCGAGACATCCTCGGAATTCCTGCGAGCGGGGCGTGAAAACAAGCATTTCGCCTGAGACATCCTTTGAATTCTGGCCACCCACGAGGCCCCCGCTCGAGACACCCCCCAAGTTTGCAAAACCAGCGTTTCGCTCGAGAGATCCTCAACTAATTCGGAGAAACAAGCGTTTCGCTCGAGACATCCTGTCAAAATCCAAGGAACTCCTGGAAAGACAAGCGAGTTAGTCGAGACATCCTCGAAATTCCTGCGCGCGGCGCGCGCGAGACATCCTCGGAATTCCTGCGAGCGGGGTGTGAAAACAAGCATTTCGCCTGAGACATCCTTTGAATTCTGGCCACCCACGAGGCTCCCGCTCGAGACATCCCCCAATTTTGTAAAACCAGCGTTTCGCTCGAGACATCCCCAGCAAATTATGAAAAAGAAGCGTTTCGCTCGAGAAGTCTTGTCAAAATCCAAGGACATCTAGGAAAAACAAATGAATTAGTCGAGACATCCTCGAAATTCCTGCGCGCGGGACGCGGCACGCGCGAGACATCCTCGGAATTCCTGCGCGTGAGGCGCTTTTCCGCGTCGCGGCCGGCTCTGCAAAACCAGCGTTTCGCTCGAGAAATCCTCAACAAATTCTAAAAACAAGCGTTTCGCTCGAGACATCCCCAACTCTGCAAAACCAGCGTTCCGCTCGAGACATCCTCAACAAATTCTGAACAACAAGCGTTTCGCTCGAGACGTCCTTCCAATTAATTCCGCCGGCCCATCTCGACCTCGATATTTATCAGTGAATAATTCCGCCGGCCCACCTCAAGTCAGGTCCGGGGGTAAACCTGTAAAAGAGAACCCTGGGCCTAAGCCCTTTCCGGGAAAAACAAGCGTTTCGCTAGGGGCATCCTCAATTTTTGATTCGCCGGCCCTACGCGACCTCGTTATTTATCGCAGAAGAAATTCGCCGGCCCTACAGCCGTCAGATCCGGGGGCAAACCCCTAAAAGAGAACCCTGGGCCCAAGTGCTTTCTGGGGAAAACATGATGGACCCACGAACCCGGAAAGGGATATAGACATGTGGAGCATGGGCACGTTTTCACGATACCCAACGGGGCAACACCTCACGAAACATCCCACGAGACACCTCACGAAACATCCCACGAGACACCTCACGAAACATTCCGCGAGACACCTCACGAAACATTCCAGGAGACACCCCGCGAAACATTCCACGAGACACCCCACGAAACATTCCACGACGACAGGCAACCACTCAACCAAGGCGGTGTGGTCGTGCTGGGGAGTGGTCGTGCTGGGGTGTGGTCGTGCTGGGGGGTGGTGGTCGTGCTGGGGTGTGGTCGTGCTGCTGGGGTGGGTCGTGCTGGGGTGTGGTCGTGCTGGGGTGTGGTCGTGCTGGGGTGGGGTCGTGCTGGGGTGTGGTCGTGCTGGGGTGGTCGTGGGGTGTGGTCTTGCTGGGTGTCGTGCTGGGTGTGGTCGTGCTGGGGTGAGGGGTGTGGTCGTGCTGGGGGTCGTGCTGGGGTCGTGCTGGGGTGGTCGTGTCGTGCTGTGTGGTCGTGCTGGGGTGGTCGTGCTGGGGCGTGCTGGGGCGTGGTGGCTGGCGTGGTGTGCTGGGGCGTGGTCGTGCTGGGGTGTGGTCGTGCTGTGGTGTGGTCGTGCTGGGGTGTGGTCGTGCTGGGGTGTGGTCTTGCTGGGGTAGGGTCGTGCTGGGGTCGGGTCGTGCTGGGGTGTGGTCGTGCTGGGGTATGGTCGTGCTGGGGTGGGGTCGTGCTGGGGTGGGGTCGTGCTGGGGTCTGGTCGTGCTGGGGTGTGGTCGTGCTGGGGTATGGTCGTGCTAGGGTGGGGTCGTGCATTTCGCTCGAGACATCCTGCCAAAATTCCAGGAAATCGTACAAAAACAAAGGAATTAGTCGAGACATCATCGAAATTCCTTCGCGCGGGGCGCTTTTCCGCGTCGCGGTCGGCTCTGCAAAACAAGCGTTTCGCTCGAGACATCCTCGGCAAACTCTGCGGAGCAAGCGTTTCGCTCGAGACATCCTCAACACACGAAAAAGTGGCCCGCACCCTGTGATTTATCGATCGGGATTTCAAAAACAAGCGTTTCGCTCGAGACATCCTCAAATTTTAATTCGCCGGCCTCCTTCGACCTCGATATTTATCAGGGAAAAAATTCGCCGGCCTCCTTCAAGTTGGCACCGGGGGACAGGTTTACCAACTAAAAGAGAACCCTGGGCCCCCGCCCTTTCCGGGAAACATGATGGACCCACGAACCCGGAAAGGGATATAGACATGTGGAGCATGGGCACGTTTTCACGATACCCAACGGGGCAACACCTCACGAAACATCCCACGAGACACCTCACGAAACATCCCACGAGACACCTCACGAAACATTCCGCGAGACACCTCACGAAACATTCCAGGAGACACCCCGCGAAACATTCCACGAGACACCCCACGAAACATTCCACGACGACAGGCAACCACTCAACCAAGGCGGTGTGGTCGTGCTGGGGAGTGGTCGTGCTGGGGTGTGGTCGTGCTGGGGGGTGGTCGTGCTGGGGTGTGGTCGTGCTGGGGGGGTGGTCGTGCTGGGGGGTGGTTGTGCTGGGGCGTGGTCGTGCTGGGGCGTGGTCGTGCTGGGGCGTGGTCGTGCTGGGGTGTGGTCGTGCTGTGGTGAGGTCGTGCTGGGGTGTGGTCGTGCTGGGGTGTGGTCTTGCTAGGGTGGGGTCGTGCTGGGGTGGGTCGTGCTGGGGTGTGGTCGTGCTGGGGTGTGGTCGTGCTGGGGTGTGGTCGTGCTGGGGTGTGGTCGTGCTGGGGGTGGTCGTGCTGGGGGTGGTCGTGCTGGGGGTGGTCGTGCTGGGGTGGTCGTGCTGGGGGTGTGGTCGTGCTGGGGGTGGTCGTGCTGGGGCGTGGTCGTGCTGGGGCGTGGTCGTGCTGGGGCGTGGTCGTGCTGGGGTGTGGTCGTGCTGTGGTGAGGTCGTGCTGGGGTGTGGTCGTGCTGGGGTGTGGTCTTGCTGGGGTAGGGTCGTGCTGGGGTCGGGTCGTGCTGGGGTGTGGTCGTGCTGGGGTATGGTCGTGCTGGGGTGGGGTCGTGCTGGGGTCTGGGGGTCGTGCTGGGGTGTGGTCGTGCTGGGGTATGGTCGTGCTAGGGTGGGGTCGTGCATTTCGCTCGAGACATCCTGCCAAAATTCCAGGAAATCGTACAAAAACAAACGAATTAGTCGAGACATCATCGAAATTCCTTCGCGCGGGGCGCTTTTCCGCGTCGCGGTCGGCTCTGCAAAACAAGCGTTTCGCTCGAGACATCCTCGGCAAACTCTGCGGAGCAAGCGTTTCGCTCGAGACATCCTCAACACACGAAAAAGTGGCCCGCACCCTGTGATTTATCGATCGGGATTTCAAAAACAAGCGTTTCGCTCGAGACATCCTCAAATTTTAATCCGCCGGCCTCCTTCGACCTCGATATTTATCAGGGAAAAAATCCGCCGGCCTCCTTCAAGTTGGCACCGGGGGACAGGTTTACAAACTAAAAGAGAACCCTGGGCCGGCGCCCTTTCCGGGAAAAAAGAGCCAACAAAAGCGGGCGCAGCATGTGCCCGCTTCCATGCCGCAAGGAGCTTCCTGTGCGCCCCATGTCCAAGACCGTCCCTGAGCGCAAACGGTCTCGGGCAGTGCCCTCGCCGCCCAAGCCTCCCAAGACCATCCCGGCCTCCCTGGGGCCTCCACGGTGCTGCGCCCCCCCCCCCCCCCAAGGGCAAGACCAAGCCAGCCCCGACCCCCCGCCACAAGGAGACGAAGGATAAGAAGACGACGAACACAACGTCACCATCCCCCACCCAAGGCATGACCCAGCCAGCCCCGACCCCCCGCCAGAAAGAGAAGAAGGATAAGAAGACGACGAACACAACGTCACTTGCTCGCCCGGAACCAACCAACATCTGCGCTACCAAACTGCCGCCCAATAGAGCCCCAGGACGGCCTCAAGAGACCCTCCAAACGGCCCAGAGGGCCCCACGAGGGCCCAAGAGGCCCCCAAGCGGCCCCCAAAGACCTCCGATACGGCCCAAGGACAGACGGAGCGCTTGTCTGGCCGTGTCTCCCGCGAAGCGGTGTATATCACAAGAGGCGATTCTAGGAAATGGAGACAGCGGCATGCCGCCACTCTCCCTCTCTTATTTGGCTGAAGAGCAACACCCTGCTGCAAACAGAAGTAGGAACACATTTGCAATATACGCGCGACGATCGGCACGCCGCAGAATCAACGTTTTAGTAAATGGCTGCTGACCCTACCCGCCTCTGATGTTTCTTTCCTGAGGTCCCACTCTCGAGGGGCACCTTCTTCACGCGCCAATCAGGCGCCATCCTTGACTACGGCTGTGACGCTGGACCCTTGCGCAAGCGCATATACGCCTCCTTTCCAATGTCGACCTTGCTCATCGCCGGCTCTGGCCGTAAGACGCTAACGACGACCTCCGCAGCGAAGTAACCCGTGCGGCAGAAGCCATCCTCCTCGCGAAAGCCTCGGCAGAGCTGCGCGGCCGCTGGCAATTGCGCTTGAAGAGGCCGTCGCCCGTGATCCGGAGCTCTCCGTCTGGAGCTATCTGCCACTGCAAGCTTGATACGCTGCATCCCCCGCCGCTGTCCTGGACCGTGTTGAGTGGCCCCGCCTCTGCGTAGCTAAAATGCTACGTGAGGGGGCAGTGGAAGCTGTCCTGCCATCGCTGGGCCAACCGCGAGGACGGCACAGACCCGGCAAGGGCCACGGCGGCGCAGTGCCGCAGCGGCTGGGCCACACCCAGCGAACCGCAGGCTCGGCGCGGAGCTGGGCCGCGAGGCCCACGCTCGCGCCGAGGAGCCACGAGCACCGGTCGGAGACGAGGAGTGGCATCGTGGCATCGAGCTCGTCCTGGATAGACGCCCAGAGATGCCACACACCCGCGGCCGCCTCGACGGCCCTCCCTGGCAGCGCCACAGAGGCGCCCACAGACAGAGGCGCCTCCACCGCGTCGAGCACCCCGACTGGGGAGCCCCCGAGGAGGCCCAGCGAAAACACGGTGTCACTCGAAGACAGCCACCAGAGCTCGACAGCCGAGGCCACGCGGGCATCGACGGCCTCGGGTGTCACCTCCGCGGTGAGGGTCGCGTGGCCGCCTGGGGCCGACGAGGCGAGGCGCGCTGCGCTGGCGCACGGCTGCCGAAGGACCTTCCAGTGGAAGGCCGCTGCCCAACAGCGGCGACACCGATGCTACGTGCGCGCCCACCTGACGGGCCGCGTCGCGCAGGGCTTGGATCTCGCTGTCGGGGGCCTCGCCCGCGAGCACCACCAGCCTCGCCGGTGCGTCCGCGAGGCGGCGGCAGAGCTCGTCGACCCAGCAACCGCGCGGGTCCACGGGGCTCACGGCCGCGGCCGTGGGCCTGGGCGCAATCGATGCACTGGTGGCCCGCCACGGCCACGCGCGCGGGCTCCTCGCCCGCCCGCCCAAGGCCCCAGAGCATATGGACCCGGCCCTGGGCCGCACGGCCTCCACCGACGGCTGCAGGCCCGCCGCGCTCGCGGCCGGGCACGCGCGATGCGCGCCCGCAGCATCACACCGGAAGAGCGGCGTGCGTGAGCCGCGTTGCCGTCATGGCCGCGGCTGCGCCTGGAGCCACGACGGCTACGGACGGGCAGATACTGACAGGCAGGCAGACAAGCATGCTTACATGCAACAGGGCTGGACCAAAACAATGCATCTCGTTTCTCGTTTTGTTTTCGTGTTCACTCGTTTTGTCTTCAATCCGCCTTTGCTGCAAATCGAAATCGAAACGAACACGGCCCACGAAATCGCCAAAACACCGTCTAGGTCGACCCCTGACATACAACATAGACAACACATGAGCACGCGCGTCCAACCAACGCACGCATACGTCGATTCCGCGCCTGCTCTTCTTGTTCCTCCCCCGCCTTTCTACGGGGAGGAAGAGAAGGAGAAGCCCACGTGTGATCAGTCCGCGCAGCTCTGCATCCTCCAGCGCAGCGTCGGACTTTCTTCCACGGAAGGCTCATGCGCGCGGGAATTCGTCCTCGGCGCTGACGGCGCTCGGAAAAGCGCGAAGGCGCGGAAAACGGGAAGCTTTCCGGCCCCCGTGGGGCCCCGAGTCTGGCAGAGATCCGCGAGGATCCGCCCCGATGACGCCGACGCGGGCATCCCGAGGGCGGCCAACGACGGTGACCACGGCGTCGACGACGGCGATGCGGCGGCGGGGCGCAGCCCTCTGAGCCTCGCAGGCCCGGCCCGTCGGGTGGGGAGGCGACTTCTTGCTAGCGGCCGCCGATGCGCTCCGCGGGCGGTGGGCGGGCCGAGGGCAGGACGCGCGCGCACCGACGCGTCCGTGCCGTGGGGGCCGAACAAGCAAGACCTCGTGCCACCGATGCGGGCACCGCGCCACCGTACAAGGCAGTTTCTAATGCATCGGATTTCTATATATATATATATGTGTGTGTATATATACACACAGATTTTTTTCATACGTGATTGATTTATAAATGAATTTATGCATGAACTCATCGTTGGTTTTAGTACCAGATCCCTGCATCTTTAAGACATGATCCGTACGCGGAGCGTGTATTCGAAACGGCACTGTAAGGAACGCTGCGCCAGGAGTGAAAAGGGTCTTCTTCCTGGCCGCGGCGAGCCTCGGCCGCGGACGGGCTCTCCCCGGCCCAGATGTCGGGAGCGCCCCGAAGACCAGAGCCCCTCCGGAGCCCTCGGCGGTCCCCAATGCAGCATCCGCACTGCACGGCCAGGGCTGTCGACCTCATCGCCGGGGGGGAATCCCTCGGCCTGGATCGGTCCGCGAAGGCCCCTGGCGCCCGAGGCAGGGCCCGAGCTCCACCCCGCCCCGACGCCCCCCGCCATGAACAAAACGCGACGTGAGCACAATCCGGCGCGCTCCATGCCCATCCCTATGAGGCATCCTGGATGGGGTCCCAATAGGTGGGGTCGGGAAATCTCGCCGCATCGCGGATACATCGGCGATGCATCGACGATGCATCGGCGATGCATCGGCCATGCACTGGCGACGTCGGCGATGCGTCCGCGACGTCGGCGTGGAGAAAATCGGGCCCCACATCGAGCCGCATCGCCGATGCATCGCCGATGCATCGGCGATGCGGCGCGATCCTCCGGCCCCCTCCGCCCCGACCCCGTCTGGGGAGCCTTGCCTCCCGCGGCGGGCATTTCCGAGTCTACTCCAGATTTCGTAATAAAAGAGAGGGGGTCTGGACCCTCCAAGACAAGCCATTTCAGACCCCCCTCCGTGGGAGAACCCTCCAAAACAGCGTCCACAGACCCCCCAGGCCCTCCAAGATAGCCTGGAAGAGACCCCCTCCCGAAATGAGACCCCCCTCCCTTTCTTACGAAATCTGGAGTGCTCGGTCCGTGAGGCTGCCGCGGCCCGAAAAGCGGGGCTCCGAGCGCCTCAGCCCCCGTGGGCGGCGGCCTGGGGCACCCGGGGGCCCTCGCAGGTCGAGGAGGGGGCGGGGGGTGGGGGGGGGGGGGGGGGCGAGGGGGAGGGGAGGGGGGAGTCGCGTCTTGAGAGCGCAAGGAGCTTGAACCAAGCCTGTGGGGAATCTGGTAGGCTCCATGGAGTTCTGCGGGCTCCTGGTGAAGGGGGCGGGGGGGGAAAGGGGGAACCGGGGAGGAGAGTCAGCAGGAGGATGAGAGAAGTAGGAGGTGGGATGCCAATGGGATGGTGGTCTAGGGAAGGATAAGTAGAAATGAGGAGGAGGGTTAGGATGAGGAGGAGGAGGAGGAGGAGGAGGAGGAGGAGGAGGAGGAGGAGGAGGAGGAGGAGGGGGGAGAGGGTAGCACGGCTAAAGACATCGTCTCTTTCAGCCGTTAGCAGCAGCAGGGGGAGAGGCGGATGATGATGATGATGATGATGATGATGATGATGATGATGATGATGATGATGATGATGATGATGATGATGATGATGATGATGATGATACTGATAATGATGATGATGATGATGATGCTGTTGCTGCTGCTGATGATGATGACAATGATGACAATGATGCTGATGATGATGATGGTGATGATTATGCTTACGATGATGATGATGATGCTGATGCTGATGATGATGACGAGGGGGAGGAGGATGATGAGGATGGAGGATGACGAGGTGAGGAGGAGCTCGAAGCCTCGAAAGCGTGAAACTCCAAAGCACGCGACGAAGATGGCGTCGAAACTAACATGATGGACCCACGAACCCGGAAAGGGATATAGACATGTGGAGCATGGACACGTTTTCATGATACCCAACTGGGCAACACCTCACGAAACATCCCACGAGACACCTCACGAAACAGCCCACGAGACACCTCACGAAACATTCCACGAGACACCTCACGAAACATTTCACGAGACACCCCGCGAAACATTCCACGAGACACCCCACGAAACATTCCACGACGACAGGCAACCACTCAACCAAGGCGGTGTGGTCGTGCTGGGGAGTGGTCGTGCTGGGGTGTGGTCGTGCTGGGGGGGTCGTGCTGGGGGGTGGTCGTGCTGGGGGGGTGGTCGTGCTGGGGGGGTGGTCGTGCTGGGTGCGTGGTCGTGCTGGGGCGTGGTCGTGCTGGGGCGTGGTCGTGCTGGGGCGTGGTCGTGCTGGGGTGTGGTCGTGCTGTGGTAAGGTCGTGCTGGGGTGCGGTCGTGCTGGGGTGTGGTCTTGCTGGGGTGGGGTCGTGCTGGGGTGTGATCGTGCTGGGGTGGGGTCGTGCTGGGGTGTGGTCGTGCTGGGGTGTGGTCGTGCTAGGGTGGGGTCGTGCTGGGGTGGGGTCGTGCTGGGGAGTGGTCGTGCTGGGGTGTGGTCGTGCTGGGGTGTGGTCATGCTGGGGCGTGGTCGTGCTGGGGTGGGGTCGTGCTGGGGTGGGGTCGTGCTGGGGTGGGTTCGTGCTGGGGTGCTCCGCACCCTGTGATTTATCGATCGGGTCGTGCTGGGGTGTGGTCGTGCTGGGGTGTGGTCGTGCTGGGGTGTGGTCGTGCTGGGGTGTGGTCGTGCTGGGGTGTGGTCGTGCTGCTGGGGGTGTTCGTGCTGGGGTGGTCGTGCTGGGGGGGTGGTCGTGCTGGGGCGTGGTCGTGCTGGGGCGTGGTCGTGCTGGGGCGTGGTCGTGCTGGGGCGTGGTCGTGCTGGGGTGTGGTCGTGCTGGGGTGTGGTCGTGCTGTGGTGAGGTCGTGCTGGGGTGTGGTCGTGCTGGGGTGTGGTCTTGCTGGGGTAGGGTCGTGCTGGGGTCGGGTCGTGCTGGGGTGTGGTCGTGCTGGGGTATGGTCGTGCTGGGGTGGGGTCGTGCTGGGGTGGGGTCGTGCTGGGGTCTGGTCGTGCTGGGGTGTGGTCGTGCTGGGGTATGGTCGTGCTAGGGTGGGGTCGTGCATTTCGCTCGAGACATCCTGCCAAAATTCCAGGAAATCGTACAAAAACAAACAAATTAGTCGAAACATCATCGAAATTCCTTCGCGCGGGGCGCTTTTCCGCGTCGCGGTCGGCTCTGCAAAACAAGCGTTTCGCTCGAGACATCCTCGGCAAACTCTGCGGAGCAAGCGTTTCGCTCGAGACATCCTCAACACACGAAAAAGTGGCCCGCACCCTGTGATTTATCGATCGGGATTTCAAAAACAAGCGTTTCGCTCGAGACATCCTCAAATTTTAATTCGCCGGCCTCCTTCGACCTCGTTATTTATCAGGGAAAAAATTCGCCGGCCTCCCTCAAGTTGGCACCGGGGGACAGGTTTACCTACTAAAAGAGAACCCTGGGCCTGAGCCCTTTCCGGGAAAAAAGCGTGGACGTTTGGGCGTCGACGCCCGCCGTTTTATGTTTGTTGCAGCGCCGTGCGCGCGCGAGAGAGAGAGAGATACTGAGACAGAACGAGAAAGCGAGGGAGAGAGAGAGAGAGAGAGAGAGAGAGAGAGCGAGAGAGCGAGAGAAAGAGAGAGAGAGAGAGGGATGCCAGGCCTTGAAGAGCCGCCCGCCGTCCCTGAGGAACACCGTGCCGCCGTTCCCCGTGAGGGTGACGTAGCCCACGGCGCCGTCCTCGGTGAGGCCGGTGGCGAGGAGGATGGGGCGGAGTACTCCAGATTTCGTAATAAAGGGAGGGGGGTCTCATTTCGGGAGGGGTCTCTTCCAGGCTATCTTGGAGGGCCTGGGGGGGTCTGGGGACGATGTTTTGGAGGGTTCTCCCACGGGGGGGGGTCTGAAATGGCTTGTCCTGGAGGGTCCAGACCCCCTCCCTTTTATTAAGAAATCTGGGGTATCCGTGTTTAGATGCTCTGAGGGTGCCTGAAAGGAGGGGGATCCAGGGTGGACTGTGAAGCATGAGGGCAAGGGCTGCACGGCCGCGTGCTTCGTCGACCTGCCGGCTGGGCCAACGATAGGAGCACGTGCCGCGCCAACGAAGGCATTCCCGGCTGCTTTCTGCAGTGACGTGTGAGGGGTACGCTGCATGATTGAAGGGGCCCCAGGACACACAAATGAATACACACAAATAAAAGGATTCCCTATATTTCCCCATATTTTTTTGGGTTTCTGTCTTCCCCCCCACTTTCCATATTTTCCCACATTTTCTTGGGAGTCGACGATTAATTGTGCCTGTGTGTTTTTTCCCCTCCTGAATGATGCCTGTTGGGGGAGGGGGGAGGGCAAGGGCAGGGAGGGGTCGGGGCCAGCAGAGATCTCTGGACATGCACCCCCCTTGGATCTCCAGCAGCCTATGCAGTCGAGGCAGGGTTGCCAATTCCCCTGTTTTAAAGTCCAAGGCGAGATCTCGAAAAATGCAGGAACCTCCATGTAGGCTGAGCGAGCTCTCCTCGAGCTTCGCAACAAATGAACGACTCGGATGCCCCACTCCAGATCATGAAACTGAATCGCTCACCGGGTAAACGTAGAGACACGATAGATCACCACGTGGCAAACTCAGCTTCCCCTTCTCCGTCACATGCTCTCCCATCTTTCACTCCCCTTCCTCACTCCTCACCGATCCGCACTCCTCTCCCCTCTCCTTCCCTCCTTGTCCCTCTCCTCCTCCATCCCCTTCTTCAGATCCCCTTCCTCTCCCTCTCCAATCCCCATTTATCGCTCCTGCCCTCTCCCCAACTGCTCCCTCCCCTCCCCTGCATCTCTTCTACCCTTCCCCTCCCCCTCCCCCTCCCCCTCCCCTCCCACTCCTACTCCCCTCACCCTCGCCCAGCGTCCCTCATGGCAGTCACCTTCACACGCTTCGTCTTGGACGCCTCGTCCTCGATGGGACCTTGCACGCCCGTCTTGTTTTACCAAGGGCTGCTCCAGACGACCCCGAACACCTGCAAGAGCCAACCGAGAGCCTCCGAAGACCGCCGACACACTCCAGAACCAGCGAAATCCTCGGACACTGCGTTCTCCTCCCCGCCTCGCAGTAGCATCTAGGTCGGTGGAAGAATGGGATGATGAGGAGGAGGAGGAGGAGGAGGAGGAGGAGGAGGAGCAGGAAGAAAGGAGGAGGATGAGGAGAGGGAGGAGGAGGATGAGGAGACCAGCATGCACCCTGAAAGAAGGAAGAGAACGAAGACGAGGAAGAGGAGGAGGAGGAGGAGGAGGAGACACTTTTAGTCAGACGCCGGGCGCAACGATGCTCCCGCCCCACACGCACACGCTGACTGAGCTGCCGCCGCCCCGGCAACGAGGTCGGAGGCCCTCCAGTCCTGGTCGTCGTCGTCGTCGTCGCCGCCGCCGCCCACCGTCGGCGTCAACCGTCGGCGTCGGCGTTGGTATCGGCGTCGGCATCGGCGTCGGCGTCGTCGGCGTCGGCGTCAGCGTCGGCGTCGGCGTCGTCGTCGTCGTCAGTCTCTCTCTCTCTCTCTCACTCGTTTTTCCCCTCCTCTTCCCGATCTCCTCATGATCTCCCTCTCGCTCTCCCTTCCTCCCCCGTCAGTCTCCCTCTTTCTCTCCAGCTCGCTCTTTTTCCCCTCCTCTTCCCGATTCCCTCTTCCTCTCCCTGTCCCTCTCCCCTCCTCCCCTCTCACCCCCCTCCCTGCTCACCCTCTGTGCCTCTCCTTCTTGAGCCTCAGCTCGAAGACACTTGTGCTCAGGGCGAGACACGACACGAAACCTTCCGCGCCCTTCAGCCCGGTGAAATCATAATCTCGGGGGCGGCCAAGAGGGGGGCGTCCAAGCGGGGGGGGCGCAAACATGATGGACCCACGAACCCGGAAAGGGATATAGACATGTGGAGCATGGACACGTTTTCATGATACCCAACTGGGCAACACCTCACGAAACATCCCACGAGACACCTCACGAAACAGCCCACGAGACACCTCACGAAACATTCCACGAGACACCTCACGAAACATTTCACGAGACACCCCGCGAAACATTCCACGAGACACCCCACGAAACATTCCACGACGACAGGCAACCACTCAACCAAGGCGGTGTGGTCGTGCTGGGGAGTGGTCGTGCTGGGGTGTGGTCGTGCTGGGGGGTGGTGTGCTGGGGGGGTGGTCGTGCTGGGGGGTGGTCGTGCTGGGGCGTGGTCGTGCTGGGGCGTGGTCGTGCTGGGGCGTGGTCGTGCTGGGGCGTGGTCGTGCTGGGGCGTGGTCGTGCTGGGGTGTGGTCGTGCTGTGGTAAGGTCGTGCTGGGGTGCGGTCGTGCTGGGGTGTGGTCTTGCTGGGGTGGGGTCGTGCTGGGGTGTGATCGTGCTGGGGTGGGGTCGTGCTGGGGTGTGGTCGTGCTGGGGTGTGGTCGCTGGGGTGGGGTCGTGCTGGGGTGGGGTCGTGCTGGGGAGTGGTCGTGCTGGGGTGTGGTCGTGCTGGGGTGTGGTCGTGCTGGGGCGTGGTCGTGCTGGGGTGGGGTCGTGCTGGGGTGGGGTCGTGCTGGGGTGGGTTCGTGCTGGGGTGCTCCGCACCCTGTGATTTATCGATCGGGTCGTGCTGGGGTGTGGTCGTGCTGGGGTGTGGTCGTGCTGGGGTGTGGTCGTGCTGGGGTGTGGTCGTGCTGGGGTGTGGTCGTGCTGGGGTGTGGTCGTGCTGGGGATGGTCGTGCTCGGGGTGGTCGTGCTGGGGGGGTGGTCGTGCTGGGGGGTGGTCGTGCTGGGGCGTGGTCGTGCTGGGGCGTGGTCGTGCTGGGGGTGGTCGTGCTGGTTGTGGTCGTGCTGTGGTGAGGTCGTGCTGGGGTCGGTCGTGTGGGTGTGGTCTTGCTGGGGTAGGGTCGTGCTGGGGTCGGGTCGTGCTGGGGTGTGGTCGTGCTGGGGTATGGTCGTGCTGGGGTGGGGTCGTGCTGGGGTGGGGTCGTGCTGGGGTCTGGTCGTGCTGGGGTGTGGTCGTGCTGGGGTATGGTCGTGCTAGGGTGGGGTCGTGCATTTCGCTCGAGACATCCTGCCAAAATTCCAGGAAATCGTACAAAAACAAAGGAATTAGTCGAGACATCATCGAAATTCCTTCGCGCGGGGCGCTTTTCCGCGTCGCGGTCGGCTCTGCAAAACAAGCGTTTCGCTCGAGACATCCCGGCAAACTCTGCGGAGCAAGCGTTTCGCTCGAGACATCCTCAACACACGAAAAAAGTGGCCCGCACCCTGTGATTTATCGATCGGGATTTCAAAAACAAGCGTTTCGCTCGAGACATCCTCAAATTTTAATCGCCGGCCTCCTTCGACCTCGATATTTATCAGGGAAAAAATCCGCCGGCCTCCTTCAAGTTGGCACCGGGGGACAGGTTTACAAACTAAAAGAGAACCCTGGGCCGGCGCCCTTTCCGGGAAAAATGGCCAGCGGCATGTGCGCGGCCCCTGGGGGGGGGGGGGCCAGGGACGTGATGAAGTGAGAAGAGGCGCCATGAGATCTGGGGAAATATCATGCCCCCCGCCATGATATCCCCCCCCTAGTCATCACCCCCCTCTTTGCCGACCCCAATAATCGTGCCCATCGAACGGGACCATCTCGTGAGAAACATCCCCAACTCGTGAGAAACATCCCCTCGTGAGAAACATCCCCTCGAGAGAAATCTCCGCCGCGAGCGCTCCGCTCCTCCGCCAGCCCAAGCCACCGGGCAGCGGCCGCCAAGAGGCAGGAGGAGGAGGGGGAGGAGGGGGAGGAGGGGGAGGAGGAGGAGGAGGAGGAGGAGGAGGAGGAGGAGGAGGAGGAGGAGGAGGAGGAGGAGGAGGGGGAGGGGGGCGCCCCTGGAGAGCCGCAGGGGCCTGCTAGGGCAGGCGAGAGGAGGCGAGGCGGGCAGGACGAGGAAGACCCTGCCTGATAGCAGCCTGCCCCGGATGGAAGCCCGCGTCGCCGCACTCCAAGGCAGCGGTGGCGTCGACCGAGCGGTCTTCGCCGTGAGCATTCCGATCCTCCGCAACCCAAACCACCAGGCAGCGGCCGCCAAAAGGCAACCCTGCCGGACAGCAACCCGCCCTGGATGGAAGCCTGCGTCGCCGCATTCCAGGGCAGCGTCGACCGAGCGGTCGCTGCACACAGCGAGCTGGCTCTCGCAAGCGCAGCACCAAGACCCAACACCACTTCCCGGCAACATTGCCCCAACCGGCGCAGGCTCAGGGGGAGAGCCGATGAGGCTGCGCGGTGCAATCATAATCAACTACAGTCGGACTCGATTGGACAGGACACGCGAGAGGACACAAGACCCTTCCGAGGGCCACATGGCCACAGGAATGTAGGAAGCATGGGCCGCGAGACACAGGACACAAGGGTGCCCTTGATTTGGCAGGGTCGACCTACTAATCTGGGCCGACTCTACACCGTGCTGCCTCACAACACTGGGATGCCCCCATCGCGCTTGTTCGCAACCAGGCGGAAGACTGTGCATCGCACACGAGCGCCAGAAGCATCCCTTTTCACGCGCTAGACGAGGGCAACCGACTCCTGAAACAGATCCTCCGACATGACAAGCCCCTCGCGCTGGCCGTCCTGGGACCAATCAGCACTGATTTTTCAAGGGAAGAAATGCTTATCCCTTGACTCCGTAGGGCGGCAAAGGCTATCAAGCCCACGCCAGGCCACATGCAGGGAACCATCTACCAACTAGGCCGCACAGAGGTCAAGCGCCTGAAGAACGTCGTCCAAATGACCCTTGACCCAATAGACAACGTGACCTGGATCCGTGCAACTGTACGCAAAACCGATGCCAACGCCGTCCCGTCAGCACTGCAGGTGCTAGTCACGTCCACCAACGCCGCGCGCCAGCCGGGGTGCTCAAGCGCGGCGCCGCAGAGGGCCAAGGGACGTCGTGAGACGGCGAAGCTTGACCACGCACGCAAGCAGCCCGACGACGACCTCGTCGACGTTCTCACTGCCATCTTTGCCTCCCGCTTCCGCACCGTTCAAATGCAGGGACCCGTGGAGATGCTGGGGCGCCGCGGCGTGGCCGTTGGGGGGCGCAGACTCACCGCCTGTTGGTATCGAACCGGCCGTCGGCCCGGCTGTCCTGGCCGCCTCGGGCCGAGGGGGGCATCCAATTTTGCACCAGCTATCGCGGCGCCAAAGGCCCTGCGCCCAGCGAGTACATCACGGCGCGGTACTAAGACGGCCAAAACCTCGCACTCCAAGAAGCCCAGACTTCCGCAAGGTGGAACGCCTTCAAATGCTTTCGTGCCGATGAGCGAGTGGACATCCGAGTGGGGCCTGGCACGAACGAAGCCAATCGAGTCGCTCTCGAGCTTAGATGTACTGCTGCGGCGCTTGCGAACACCGAATATCTTGGCGCGGGCATTGGGCTTGAGAGTGATGCGAAAACGCAGGCCAAGTTTTCGCATCCATCCAGAGACGCTGTGAAGCCCAGCGCACGGGATGTGGAATGGCCGCCAGGGGACTTTTGCCATCGTCAAAGCGGCCGCGCACGCGTCCAACGCCACCGTTCACCTTCGAGGATCCACAATCCCATAGACCATCTCTCAGGTGGGGACTGCCGCCAAGACGGACCCACTGAAAACGCCGACAGAGAAGATCGTCTCACCAGAGACCATCCATCCAGTGGCGTTCACGCTGGGACCTCCAACAGGTGGCCAGGGCACCAGCACCACGCCGATTCTCCATGACAGGGCTGCCACCAGTCTGCGCCTGCAAGCGCTGCTGACAACGCCGTCGAACCAACAACAAGGCACACCGACCCTAGGAATGCCGCCCCCAGAGAAGAAACAGCGTGGCACCAGTGCAAAGAGGACGGCGGAGCGCTAGTCCAGCGCGGCCAGGCAAGCTGTTGCACTGCCATCGGGTGGACCAAAACCTCACAACACAGCGGCCCATCCAGGCCTACGGGCACCCCGCC